ATGGCTCATGACAAGAAATTGAATATATTTCCCTGTGCTATACCCTGGTTGTTATCTATTATATATACAGTAGTGTGTATCTGTTAATCCCAAACTCCTAATTTATCCCTCCTCCCCAATCCTTTTCCCCTTTGGTAACCATAGTTTTTTTTTTCCTATGTCTATGATTCTATTTCCAAGTTGTAAATAAATTCATTTGTATCGTGGTTTAGCTTTTTGGTTTTCGTTAGCGGATCAGCCCTCACTGGTATTCTCAGATTCCAGTGTTCCTCAGACTCGCTGGGAGAGCTTACCAGGAATCACTGGGTCCACCCTGAGAGTTTGGGATGCACTAGGTCTCCGCTGAGGCCCAGGCATTCACATTTCTAACAGGTCCCCAGGTGATAGAGATGCTGTTGGTTCGGGAATCACACTAGGCATCAGTGGTCTACATAATGAGCTGATATTGCTGGCACAGTGTTGAGGCAGCCTCACTTCCCACAGTGGCATATTTCTGTCAGAATCATCAGACAAGGTCTGTATTTGAGGATCATTTTTCTGAATGCAGAGCCAAGGGTGTGAATTTCACCTACGATCTGGGCCCAGACAGAGGTGAGGAGAAGAGGAGGCAGCCATGGTATTTCTGAACCTCTGCTGTGGGCCAGCTGTCTTTTGCTATGTGTGTTTCTCATGCTGTTGTGTTTAATTACCTCAAGAATGTAGGGGAGTGGCCCGTGGTGTCCAGTTAGCTAACTGGTGACAGAGCTGAGCCACACTGCCCACATGCTGAACTGACAGCTACTCCAACAGCGATACAAAGGAAACTTCAGGCTTGGCACATGGACTTTACTGGCTGTGTTTAAAATGAATTTACTTATTATTAGTTTTTCTTTCTTTTTTTTTTTAATTAACTTGGACCAAGAGCCCTGGATTCCTGAAAGTCTGGGCATCAAATGAACCAGCCCTTATGGCTTAGTTCTGATTTGATGATTTGTCCTCCCTGCCAGTGGAAGGCAAGCCCTGTTGTTCTGACTTGTCTTTCCCAACCCACTTCAGGATCTTTAATGGACACTCTCAGAAAGATTTTGGCAGGAGGCCCGTGAAATAGATCAGTGTTCACAAAGCAGTGTCCTGATTTTGCTCAGAGATGGGATAGTGGCATCGCTAAAGGTTTTATTCTGAAAGAGGCTGTTGCACCTGCTGTGTTAGTTGTGGAGAGCTCATTTTGATGCTGGGCAAGCGGAGTCGTGTTCTGTGAGCAGGCCGAGTGCACTGTACAAATGCAGCTTGTGTTACCTGTTGCTCCTGTGGGTTAAACCCTAAGCATTCAGCCAAGGACAATGGAAGGACGTCCATAGGAGCTGAGTGAGCCCTGGTTGTATTGTCCTAGGGACCCATTGCCCCCAGCCAACTGCACGTTGTCCTTTGATTTACTGAAAAAGGAAACAGAAGAGACAGGAAGGAATCCAGACCAGCTGGCAGTTTCCATGCAAATGTTTTGTAACAAGGGACCTAAGGATGGGCTGACTCCTTAAAAGTTAAGAATTTATAGGAGGCAGGTAGATTTTTCTGGTGAGTAATCCCTTTCAGTTATTTCATATCATTTTAGAGCTCTGTCGTTCGTATTACTTAGTTTGAAAGTGTTCTGTGAAGTAGCTGGTAGGAAAGGTGATTTTCATTCCCGTTCTGTGTATGGAGTGACTGTGGTCAGTGAAGATGTGTCCTTTGTCTGAGGTCCCACAGCTGGTCAGTTGTGGACGTGGGGCCCCAGTATACATCTTCAACATTTTTTCTCTGGTTCTGGTGTCTTTTCATCTCACTGTGTTGGGAAAAGCCCTGAAGGGATGGAAAGGGAGGATGTGTGTGGGCGGCCGGGAAGTGGATGGGAGAGGAGAAAAACAGCTCCGGAGAAGAAGCGTTCAGGCTGCCAGGCTCTGTATGAGAAAGGGAGCCAGAGAGCAGAAGTCCCAGCCTAAGCAAGGCTAGTAACCCCAGGGGAGCAGGAGTGGGGCGTCAGAGTCAGAGTTCTTATGAAGGCTGCGGGGAGACTGGGACCACAGACAAATGTATAAGAGCTTAATGAGCTTTGACAGTAAGGGACAAACAGAGCAACTCCAAGTTGGCATTGGGGGTTAATGGGATCAAGTAAGAAACTGCTTTTTTGGAGGAGATAGAATCTCCAGATGCCAGGGAACTAATAGGCAGGTAGATATTTGGTGATGAATCCTTGCTACACAGCCTAGATTAGCAAGCCCCTCTGAAGAGGAAGGCAGGTTTCCCTCTGCCTTTGAGGGTGTGAAAAAAGAGGAATAAGTGCTAAACTCTAGGTTATGATCTCCTCTGTGAAGAATGACTCTTTTTGTTGCCATTCGAATCAACTTAAGCTGATGTTTTGGGTCATATGACTAAAAATTCAGGTAGAGCTGGTTTCAGGTACAACCAGAACCAGTGGCTTAAATGATGTCAACAAGGCCCCATGTTTTGCTGTTTCTCTGCTCTGCCTTCATTCACATCAGAGCCCTTGGCAGGTCTTGGTTCTGCCCCTCACAATGTAAAATGGTTGCAGCTGTTCCAGACCTCGCACCATCATCCCATCCTGTTCCAGGAAAGACCCAGTAGCTGCTGCAGAAGAGTAAGGAAGCTGCTATTCCCCAGAAGCCCCAGCAAACATTGGCTTCCATTGTTTTCTGTGCCTATGAGCTCAAACAACTTAAGGACCATCCATGGGGCAGGAGAAGGGCTACCTCCGACCACATTGCATCGTTAAAATGGGGCAGCAGTAGCTTTTGAAATGAAGCTGAGAGGTACTTTTGCTAGAAAGAAGGGGAATGGAGGCTGGGTGGTAAATTACAGAAGTCTTCCCCACCAACCGAAGGGAGGAGGGGGTGAAATCATGCTAGGTAGAATTCCTTGGGGAATTCTCTGAGTGCAGGAGTAACTCTTAGCACATGTGTTAGTTAAGAGACTAGAGTAAGAGATAAGGAGAGAGGTCATAGTGTGACTTAAAGAGCAAAGGTATTTATTTCCCTCTCACGTAACAGTGGTCCAGCAGCTCTTTCACGCTACTATCCTTGGTCCCATGTTTCCTCACCATTTCTGTGCCATTTGCTAGCTCTGGGCTGTCAGTGAGCAGAAAGAAGGGGGAGGGAGTGTGTGGAGGAAACAGCCCCCTGTTTGAAGGCTCTGTGCCTTCAGTAGTGAGTGCTGGCCAATCCCCAGCATGGTGACCAGTGACCAGAAAACAGAGAGGAAATTTTGTCGTAGAGTTGGCATCTCCACCACAGCTCCCGAACTAGATTTCCTGGGAGGCTTATCCATCCTCAATGATGTTCCCGTGGCAGATAGCACTTCCTCAGAGAGGAATCTTCATCCAGGTCCCTTCATTTTGGGAATCACCAGTGTTTAATGGGAACTAGGTCACTTACAGTTGGGTTAGATTCAGGTACATATGACAGAAAACCAAAACTACAGTGACCTAAACAAAGTGAATGCGCTTTTTATTCTCTCACATAAAAGACATCCATCGTAATAACAATACACCATAGTGTCAGAGACTCTGTTCTGCCATCTCAGTATTTGGTTTCCTCCTCATACTCCAAGGTGATTGCCTGAGCTCCAGCCATCTCTTCACATTCACTCTGGTAAAAAGGAGGAAGAAAGACCTTCAAGGGCATTTACCGGAAGTCACATGCAACACTTCCATTTACACCTTACTGGTCAGCACTTAATTACACAGCTACAAGGATGGCTAGAAATACAGCCTTTTTCCCTGGAGTTAAGAGCCTCACCCCAAAGTGTGGGGTTTCTCTTGCTGAGGAAGAAGCGGAGAACAGACATTGGGCAACAAGAGGCAGTCTATACTAGAGACCTATGCCCCAGTGCCCTCACTAGATGTCCTCACTAGATGTCCTCGCCTCTGTCTCTGTGTGTGTGTGTGTGTGTGTGTGTTTGTCCAGGGTAATCTTAAAAACCCATCTTCCTACTTACCTGAGAAAATAAATCATCATAGTAGCTAATATGTTTCGCGTGCCTGTCAGGTGCCAGACACTGATCTGTAGCGTTTATTCTTCCCAACAGCTCTCTTTCAAAGTGCTTAAAGAAGGAGTGTGTAGTGTGGGACCACTGACAGAGGTGTGGGCAGAGTGGAGGGAACCAGAAGGGCTGGGTGAGGTGCCCGGAGATTAGCAACAGCAGGAAGCCATGGCCACCCCTGGAAGTGCAAGGGAATGGTCGAGTGTCACTCCACCGGTTCAACCAGCGCTTAGAGCCTCGAACTCAGCTGCCTCCTACCAGGTCAGGAGGTGGAGCTGCAGAAGGAAGCCAGGCCAGCAGCCCTGCGAGCACAGCTGGAGTGGCCCCAGGAGGCCGATCGACACCCTTACTTCCCTGTCTCTCCTCCCACCTTGGAGCTCGCGATAGCGCCGCCCTAGGGCGGGACCCAAGAGCAGCCTCCTGGGGAAGACAGCCGGGCAAAGATGGGCAGAAAATGGACTGGGGGGTTGGCTGAGCAACAGTATGGTTATGACTCCCTTTTATGGGGAAGGGAACCGAGGCAGGGAGGGAGTAGGGCACTAGCTTGGCTAGTAAGCTGCAGAGATGTGCGTCCTGAGTGAGGAAGGCAGGGCACGCCCTGCTCTTGTCCTGAAGGATGGTCTGCGCTTGCGCCGCTTGGACAGGCGCGTTTTGGCCCAGGAGTAACAGTTTCCGCCTCACCATTGCAGGTTGCTGTCTCGAACCTCGGGGAGGCGGTGCAGGATGCAGACCTGCTGGTGTTTGTCATCCCCCACCAGTTCATTCACAGGATCTGCGACGAGATCACCGGGAGAGTGCCTAAGGACGCGCTGGGCATCACCCTCATCAAGGTGCCGCGGCCCCTCGCTGCGTGTTACTGGGAGCTTTCTTTCCTCTCCCTTTCATCTGTTGGAGGGAAGGAGCTGAAGGGAGGTTACGGCTGGTTTGGGTTTGTTTTCTTTCTTTTTTTCTTTTTCAGTTTTTTGAGGGGGTTATTGAGGTTTATTTTTTTTAGAGGAGGCGCTGGGGGTTGAACCCAGGACCTCATGCAAAGCATGTGCTCTACCACTTGAGCTATACCCTCCCCTTGGGTTTGTTTCTTAAATATGCCTGGAAGGTGATCAAAACCACGTCTCCCACGAGGCTGACTTGCTCACACTGAGGAGAGGCTGCTTCCCCATGCAGGAGGTTCTCAGGGGCGAGGGTGCAAGGGTCCCCTGAGAAGCCTTCCCGCCAGAGAGACCCTTCTAGTCCAGTACGTGGGTCTGCGCCTGCGCTCTGGAAATCTCCCACGGTTTGCAATAGCTGCAAAATTAATCATCTTCGTTCCCACATCTGGGTTCATTCCCTAAAGAGGTTGTTTTTAACTGGAAGTCCACAAACCACTCCCAAAGCTCCACAGACAGAATTCAAGATGCTCATGGACTGAAATATGGGGGGGGGCCTGCATTTTTATTAATTTTAACTCTGACTGAAACAGGCATTTTGTTCACTTAGGAATGTAGGCCACAAGCCAGAGTTTCATTAACAGTAGTATTAGCAGGACCTAGTGGTCAATAGGTATTTTTGTATCACTTTATGGTGGCTTCACATATCTCAGGGTATCAGTTATGCTCATCACTACTTTGAAATTACTGTAATTATTAGACCTACCATGACATCTTTTAATAATTGCATTAATAAAACATATATATTACTTTGCCACAAATTTTTTTGGACATTCTGGTAACAATATTTCAATATAATTGTCTTACATATTTTCCTCTGTGCATGTGGATTTTGAGAATGGGCCTGTAACTTCACCACACTGCCAGGGGCGGGTCCATGTCATAAGAAAGGTTTAGAAACCCCTGGACAGACTCTGTCCCAAAGTGTTCGTATCGTAGGTGAATGTTTATGAAGGCAAACAGCTGCAATGTCATTCATCAGTAGGGTGGATGAATGAACAGTGGAAAACTACACAGCCATGAATGAGAGTGAACCCTAACATTCATGCAGCCACATGGGTAAATCTCTAACATAATAATATAGTTCAAAGCAGCATGTTACAGGTGAACAGTACAGTTTCACTCATGGTTTTCAAAAATAGGCATACTGACATAACATTGTTTAGAGATAGTTTTATGTGGCAAATGAGCAAGAAAAGCAAGGGAGTAGGGCATAAATCATTCAGGATAAGGGGTCAGGGAACAGGGACAGGGAACAGTACTGAGAAGGGGGATGAATTTAGGGAGAGACACAGGGGACCTCAATGTCCGTCATGTTCTGTTTCTTAACCTCGTGGTTACATGTTCATTTTCATCTGATTGTTACTCTTTAAATAGTACATAGACAGTATGAGTGTTTACCCTTGTAAACAAGAGAGGTTTTTCCAGTTGCGTGTGCCACTGGAGGTCTGAACCTGGATTACTTACAAAGCAACAATCTCCTGCCTCTTTCTTTGGTGGTTTGTTTCCCCCTGACTGGCTGCCGTCCCCGCAGGGCATTGACAAGGGTCCTGAGGGGCTGAAGCTCATTTCCGACATCATCCGGGAGAAGATGGGCATTGACATCAGCGTGCTGATGGGCGCCAACATTGCCAACGAGGTGGCTGCCGGGAAGTTCTGCGAAACCACCATTGGTGAGCGCCGCCGGGGATGGGGCCTCGGGATCCTGGACGTTTGCTGTCTTAACGTGTACATTTTCTGTAGTGGACTCTTCCCTGCCCCCTTAACATTTCTGGGGTGGACATTCAGTGGGGTGGGAATTTTATCTTAGGAGCCCATGCTGTGGGATTAGAGTGTTTCAACAGCCTCTGGAGTGAAAGAAAAGCCCAGGAGACCGTGCTGACCTGCCGTGATCCAGCGATGACATCATTGAGGCTAAACACAAGGGTGCTTGTACCAAGAAGCAGAGAATGGGGACATCCATGGTGGGGCTCCCCTGGCCATAGAAACACAGCTTTTCATTACTCGCAAATGCCAGGACCTGGATCCTCACTGGATTCCAGTGAGATCTAAAAATTGGTGGGAACGATCCCCACTTTCAGGTGAGCAAGCCAAGGCTCAGAGAGGAAGTTACCTGTCCCCAAGGTCACAAAGCTAGAGAGCCCAGGCATGAACTTGGGTCCCCCTGTTTCTTGAAATCTCTTTCTACTCTCATACACTGGTGTGAGACTTTTGTTTCTTATAAAGAGGGCTTTGGAGTTCCCGTGTGCCTATGTAGCATGTTATAGGACTCAGAGAAGAGAAATATCGTTGTGTTTGCGCATGCTTTGCAAATGTCTGTCTACTACTCCCAAACTTACTTCCGCCCTTGTCAGACACACCAGTGATGTGAATTGCTTCTCCTTAGCAGCTCTGTTAAATGAAGCGCTGAGAGAGGTCAGGCTTTCCTGAGTAAGTTAGGATGAACAGGGAAGGGCGGCTCCTGGTTCTTATGCCTCAAATTAGGACATTTTTTACTTTTTTTTTTTCCTTTTCGTCTCCTTTACTTTTATTAAAAAAATTTTTTTATATGTCTGACATTTGCCTTTTTAACTGTTTAAGTGTACAATTTGGTGGCTTTAAATATATTGACATTGTACAACCACTACCTTTATCCATTTCCAAAACTTTAATTACCCCCAGAGAAATTCTGTACCCAGCAAGCAATAACTGAGGATTCCTCCCTTCCCCCAGTCCCTGGGAGACACCACTCTACTTTGTGTCTGTCTGAATTTGCCTATTCTAGGTATTTCATATAAGTGGGCTCATACCATATTTGTCCTTTTCTGTCTGACTTATTTCACTTATAATGTTTTCAAGTTTCATCCATGTAGCATGTAACAGAATGACATTCTTTTTTATGGCTGAATAGTATTTCATTGTATGGATGTGCTGCATTCTGTTTGTTCACCTATCTGTTGATGTGAGGTTGTTTCCATCTTTTCAGCTACTGTGAATAGTGCTGCTCTGCCCATGGGTATGTAAATACCTGAGTACTCGCTTTCAGTTCTTTGGGGTAAATACCCAGAAGTGAGATGGCTGGATTGTACGGTCTTTCTGTGTTTAATTTTCTGAGGAACTGACAAACTGCCTTGCACACAGCCTTTTACATTCCCCGAAAGGTGTGTAATTTTAAACTATAAGCTCAGTCTACTCCAGCTCTTTAAGTATCAGAACCTTATTTGTCTTTTTGGAGGTGCTTGTTAAATGTATACATGCAGTAGTATGAGTCTCAATCAGCATCATTCCAGGATAGAAGTTCAGGAGGGTTGATTTAGCTTCTAGGGAAGAACTGTTAGTAATAGATTGATGAACACCTCTGTTTAGAGATTAAAGTCTGTATTTTCTCCAACAAATTAAGTTCCTATTGCCAAGTTTTCTCCTTCATTTATCTGTTTATTTACTTATTTATCCCTTTAATGGAGGCACTAGAGATTGAACCCAGGACCTTGTGCCCACCAAGCACACACTCTACCACTGAGCTATACCCCCACCCCTTCTCCTTAATTTTTAATTGTATGGATATTCCCTGATTACTGTGGAAAACAGAGATAATCAAAAGAAAACCTTTTAAAATTTAATTTAATTTTTATCTCTTCTGTTTGTGTAAATTGTGTCTGTAGCTGTTACACCCTCTTTTATGATCGCTCCACTTACTTGGTGTGTAACAACTGACTTCCTAAGTCTGTCAACTTACATCTTTATAGTTGCAGAGCATTCTGTTGACAATCCCGTGTATCTGGGCACTTAGATTTTTTTTTTTTGAGAAATAATAATTTTGGAGAGGAGAGGTATCACAAATAGTAAAAGGAAGAAAACAAAATGACCTATAATAACATGGCTCAGGTTGATATTTATGAAGGCCATACAGACACAGGTAGGAAAATTCAAACAGCACGAGCAGGTGTAAAATTAGAAGTAAGATTAGAGTTTTCCATTTGTTCCTTCTTCCCAGAGGGAATCACTGTTAGCATTTTCCAAGCATCCCTCCAGGAAAAAAACTGACACATGTATATGACTAGCCTGTATACAGGTTTTATTCTTTCACAGTTCTTTCATTCATCTGTGATTTTAATGTAGCCTGTGAAATTGTTATGTAATTACTATTTTTTTTTAATACTAACTACTTGTTCCCACTCAGTCCTATTTGCTAATAGTCAATTTGCTGATCGGTTGGGAATGACTGGTCACCCATTCATTCTCTAAGGCTGAGACTTCTCCAGTCCTTGCGTGAAACCTGTAGGTTTTGGCTATGATTTTTACTGGCCTCTGAGCCCTGTTTGTTGTAAGGAAATGCAGTAGGCTTTTTTGATTTGTAAGACAGACAAATGCACAGAAGTCACATCTCTTCACCTCTGGTTTCTGTCTACCCAGTGCTCCCATTGCCTTGTCTGTGGGTTGGACCATGGCTGGCAATTAAATTCAGTAAAACGTCGAAAGTAAGAGCAGGAAAGTGACACTTGCTGAATTTTCTTACGTAACCTGACTTTGATTGTGAAGGAATATCAGACAAGCACAAAGTAAGGGATGTGGTACAAAACAGCTGGCCAGTACTCTTCAAAAATGTCAGTGACGTGGATGAGGATGAAAGGCTAAGGGAGTGTCTAGTGCAGGATCCTGGGATGGATCCTGGTTGAGGAGGGGAGGTTGCCATAAAGGCAACACTGAGGTGATGCGTGAGTTGGAGTAAGGGTTGTAGTTAGATAATTATATCAACATTAAAATTTCTGGACTCAGCGGGGTGGGTATAGCTTAGTGGCAGAGCATGTGCTTAGCATGCATGAGGTCCTGGGTTCAATCCCCAGTAACTCTGTTAAATTAAAAAAAAGATAATAAGTAATAAATAAGCCTACCCCCCCCAAAAAAAACCCCCACAAAACAAAACGAAACAACAAAAAAAATTCTGGATTCAGTCATTTCCCCTTGGTTATCCAGGTCTCCTTTCTTGATGACATTAGCAGCCAACTCATTTTTAATTATGAGGGATTCGCGAATCTTAGCCCTCTTGAGTCCTCTGTGGAGGAGGGAGAAAATGGCATTATTTTCAGCTCTGGAAAAATACTGCTGAGCACGGTGAACTACGGCGCCCCCTTGTGGTGAGAGCTCCCTTCCTTCTCGGGACTGACTGCACAGAGTCCCAGACTTCCACTCACCCACAAATACCGTTCAAAGCCTGTTCTGTGTCAGTCATGGTGATAAATGTCAAGAATACATAAGCTCCTGTATGGAAGGAGCTTCTAGGTACACAAATAGGGAATTGCAAACTGATGGGAGGGTTTTGAAGGAGTTTTACTCAGTAGGTTATCTCCAAAATGTGGTGTAGCTGAGAACGGGGATTTTCCTGTTTTTTGATTCATGTGGAGTCTGGGGAGCCCTTGCACACAGCTGTTGGGCATTACCTGTTCTGGACCAGATGCCCCAGGTCCCTGTGTGCGGCGTCACTGCTTATGACTGATAACGATAATATGGTTAGTGCTTCCTTATCCACGATTTAAAATAATAAAAGATAAAAATTTAAAAGTTGCATTTGAGAAAATGTAAGATTGCTGTCAGTCAAGCCCACCTCCCTAATGGACACCGTGTGGAATTTGCAGCCACCGAGGCATCGACAGACCCCACCTTGTATCAGTAGTAAATGGACCCCGTTCTCCCTGTCAGGTTGCTCCCAGGTGCCGACGGCTGGATGAAAGTGGCTCGGGTAGGGGCCTGTCTGTGACAATTGTCAGCCTCCCTCATGTCGGAGGCCCGTGGTCAGGGACAGCGGAGAGAGACAGTAATGACATCCTGATGTGGGGCCGGGGCCGGTTTACCCAACCCAGGTGATGAAACAGTGCTGCTGGCCTGGAGGACTGTTTAGAAAAGGAAGGGGACAGTTTGCTCAAATGGACATACTTCTAGTATTTGGACAGAGGAGAACTCAGCTAAATAACTGATAACAGCACGGCCTGTAAAATAGAAAATGTGTTTCTATTTCTAAGTATCTAGTATAGACATCTTAAATATTTTATGGAAAATTTCCTTAAACCAAACAAAATTAGGGAGAACAGTATCAGGACCCCAGCACCTGTCTTTAGTAATGAGTAACTTCTGGCCAGTCTTATTTCATCTTTCCACTCTCTCCTGGGTCATTTTGACATTTTATTACTTCTGGGTGTCGTTTTAGTTGTTGACAGTCGTTTTTTTTCCTGCATCAGGAGACAATAGCTCTAATTGTGATGTTTGTTTGTTGCTTATCGTATCTTTTCTTGCCCCAGAGAGGACTATAGCACAGAGAGAACCTGGGCCCAGGAGTCAGAGCACTGGGTTAGAATACAGGCTCTGCCTCCTACTAGCTGTGTGACCTAGAACAACTTGGTAAACCTCTCTGGGCCTCCTGTCTATAACCAGGGAAAAATCAGGCATAAGCACGTTAAGTGTCAGCTGTCCTGTTGTTGTTACATAGGACCTTTGCAAGCTTGTTGTGACAAATAGGCTGTTTTCACACCTGATTCTTATTTAACCTCACACCAGTCCTGATGGTGCCATCCTGTCTTACTCATGGGGAAGCCAAGGCTGGAGGAAGTTAAATCAGAGGTTTTCAGACTTGTCTGCCTATTGGAGTCACCAGGGGAGCTTCAAAAATTACTGATGCTTGCTCAAACCAGAGCTTATGGTTTAACTGGTCTGACTTACTTATTTATATTTGGAGGAGGTACTGGGGATTGAACCCAGGACCTCATGCGTGCTAAGCATGCATTCTACCACTTGAGCTATACCCTCCCCCCAATTGGTCTGGGATGTGGCTGGCCTTCCTTTTTTTTTTTCATTTTTCAGTTTTACTAAGTAGAATTGTTACAGTTTGACTGCACATATATGATATATTGCATGTAAATACATATACACAATATATTGCACATTTTTTTAAATTTACATATATGTACTGTTCATTGTTTCTAGGAACGTTTAGAGCTTTAGCTTTTTAAACTTACATAGTTATCAAAGGAATAAAGCCAACCACAAAATAAGAATTAATTTAAAAAGATGCATTCACCCCACTATTAACGGCCACATTATTTATAATTGCCAAGATATGGAAACATCCTAAGTGCACATCAATTGATGAATGGATAAAGAAGATGCAGCATGTGTATATAATGGAATACAACTCACCCATAAGAAAGAAAGATATTTTGCCATTTGCGGCCCTTCATTCACATTTTTTTTTCACTCCCAAAACCAGAATTTTATAACTGGCAGAAACAGTTCCATTGCATCAAAAAAAAAAAAAAAAACCACCAAAATACCTAGAAATAAACTTAACCAAAGAGGTTACCTATGCTGTGAAAACTGTAAAACATTGATGAAGGAAATTGAAGATGATACAAAGAAATGGAAATGTGTTCTTGAATTGGAAGAATCAGCATTATCAAAATCGGCCTTCCGTGTTTTTAAAGATCACCAGGTGATTGTCACCAGGTGATTGTAACGTGGGCCCAAGTGCGGGGGCAGGCTCGGGAACCGAGAGGCAGGAAGGGCCCGAGGGCTGTGGTCCTCAGGGGGCTGTCTGCCGGCTCTGCTTGGCGACCACCATGTGGGCCCCAGGACTTTGCTGGCGGATTTTGTCATCCTGATCGTTGGAGCCCTCCCGGGGCTGAGCCCCCACCTTGTCTGCCACCCATCAGAGCAGCGTTCACATCCGGCTTAATGTGTAAAGTTTTATTTTTGTTTTGAACCAAAAGCCTCTAAACACAAAAAGTGTGAAAACTACTGAGCTTCTGTGTCCTTCCAGGCACGATCCCAAGGGAGGGGAAACAGTGGGAGCGAAAACAAGGATCCTTTGAGTGCACTTCTGTCTCCAGCAGTTTAGTCAGTTAACATATTTGTTGGTATTGCATCAGTTCTCTGATCCATAGTGATGCTCAGTAACAGATAGTCCCAGAATCTCAGTGGCATCCAAAGCAAGCCCAGCTCACAGGTCTGTGGGTCCCCTGGGGCGCTGGGGTGGCTGTGGTCCTTGCGTCTCATCTTCCTGTGGGGCCCAACGGGCTGGCCAGGGTGTCTTCCTCTCACAGTGAAGGCAGAGGGACATGAGAACCAGCCCTACTTCTGCACACGTGGTCTTCAAGTCTGCAGTGTATCAAGTCTGTTAATGTTCCCTTGACCACAGCAAGTCACAGGACTGAGCCCAAGGTTGGGGGATGGGGAAATCTGCCTCACCCACTGTGAGTCCTGGCACATGGTGTGGTCAAACCTGGCATCGGTAGAAAGGGAGGTATTCTCCCATGGAAACGAGGGGGTGACTGGTATTGATCAATAATATGTATGTTACAGATATAAACACAGAAATTGAGCTTATAAGTATCGATGGTAGCAAAAAGTCAGGGACAGTTTTAGATATCAAACAATAGAAAGATGCTTAGATAAAATATAATGCATTTGCACAGTAAAATACAGACATTTAAAATAATGTAGAAAATATATCATTGAAAATTATTCATGCCGTAAATGGGGGAAAGCACATTTTGGACACATACATGTCATGTTCCCAATTTTGAAAAAACCTATGTATATTCCTATTTCAGTAAGTTAAAGCTGTATGCAAAGTGTTATGATCATCTCTGGTGGAATAATGGAATATTTTCATTTTCTATTTCTAGTCCTGTGAGTTTTCTAAAATTTCCTATAATGAACATGTTACCTTTGTAATAAGAAAAAAAAGGTCATTTTAAACTGTGTTAGATGTGAAAATTAAGATTAGAGGCTGCCATGGACTTACCCAATAATCCAGCTGTCCCACTCCTGGGCACATATCCAGAGGGAACCTTAATTCAAAAACACACACATAGCCCAGTGTTCATAGCAGCACTATTTACAATAGCCAGCACATGGAAACAACCTAAATGTCCATCGACAGATGACCAGATAAAGAAGTTGTGATATAATTTATACGATGGAATATTACTCAGCCATAAAAAGAGTGAAATAATGCCATTTGCAGCAACATGGATGGACCTGGAGACTGTCATTCTAAGTGAAGTAAGCCAGAAAGAGAAAGAAAAATACCATATGATATCACTTATGTGTGGAATCTTAAAAAAAAAAGACAAACATTTATAAAACAGAAACAGACTCACAGACACAGAAAACAAACTTATGGTTACCAGGGGGGAGAGGGAGTGGGAAGGGACAAATTGGGAGTTTGAGATTTGCAGATACTAACTACTATATATAAATTAGATAAACAGGTTTATACTGTATAGCACAGGGAACTATATTCAATATCTTGTAGTAACTTATGGTGAAGAAGAATATGAAAATGAATCTATGTATATTCATGTATGACTGAAGCATTATGCTGTGCATGAGAAATTGACACAACACTGTAAACTGACTATACTTCAATTAAAAAATATATATTTAAAAAAAGAAAAACTTAAAAAGGATTAGAGGAGCTGCTATTAATTTCCTTTTTTCTAACCTTTCCATAGGCAGCAAGATAATGGAGAATGGCCTACTCTTCAAAGAACTTCTGCAGACTCCAAATTTTCGAATTACAGTGGTCGATGACGCAGACACCGTGGAACTTTGTGGTGCTCTGAAGGTAAAGCCAGCCTTGTTCTTGGTTAGCATTATGACATCGGACCCTGGAGAATGGGCTCTGTGTTCCATGCACTTACTTCAGGGAAGAATAGTGAATTGACAGCCTTGTTTATCACTTCCTGCTTTGCCCTAGCCTTTCCCAGGGCAGTTAGAGTTTCTCTCTCACTCCTGGTTTGTTTTTATTTGTAAATCTGGGGGAAATGTGGTGTTTTGTTCTTTGAGAAAGTGACAGCATTAACAATTGGAAAGCAAGGGGCAAACTTTGAAATGAGAGCCCAGTGTTCTATTAATTCACACATCTCTCCTACATATTACCTTGAGCAGGAAGAGGAATTCGGTCCTTCTGAATGATGTTACCCTATTGGCTTGCTGGTTTGGTTGGTTGTTCTTTTTAAAAGGGAGGGGGCGGGAAAGAGTCTGCTGCTGAGGGAGATTTTCCTAAGAATAGCTTTATCTTTGCCTTTAAGGGAAAAGATCAGATTAAAGAAGCAGTTTCTATTGGCCAGTGGCTTGGGAGGGTTAAGGGAAGTTTCTGCACTTGGACTCAGGCTCCTGACTTGTTCCCTCTGCCTTGGAAAGTTGGTCCCTCTCTTTATCCTGACTGTGGGGAGCAGTCAGCAGGGAGCTGGGCTGCAACTTTGAATCCTTCTCCCCTTGGAATCAGCTGCCTTAGCTGCCATCTAAAAAATAAAGGAGAAAGGAAGGAAAGGAGGGAAGGAAGGGCTGTAATGGAAAAGAATCTGGAAAATACATATATTTTTGTGTGTGTGTGTGTGTGTATATGTGTGTGTGTGTTTGTGTATAACTGAATCAGTTTGCTTTACACTAGAAATTAACATTGTAAATCAACTATACTTCAATTAAAATACAAGAATTTTAAGAAAAGAAGAAGAAAGGACGGAGAAAGGGGGGACAGTATGGCTTAGTGTTAGAGTGCATGGTTAGCATGCATGAGGTCCTGGGTTCAATCCCCAGGACGTCTGTTAAAATAAACCGACCGACCAACCAACCAACCTATGTCCACCCCCCTCCCCCCAAAACAAGAAAACTAGAGGGAAGGAAGGAAGGAAAGAAAACAAAGAGCTTCAATGTGAATGCATAGCCCCTTTGAGTCACTTTTGAATCACGTCTTCTGTAGCAGAAGCTGCTTTTCAGGAATTTGAGGACCTAGGGATGGAGATTAAGTGATCTGGCCTTGGCCTCACTTTGTCAGATGAGAATCACAAATATCAAAAAGAATGTGGGGGAGCCCAGTCCAAAGAGCACCTTCTCACTCTTTCTCCAAATTGCACATCTTTTCTTCTAGTCAGAATTTAAAATCACTTCCTAGATTTAATATCGTGTGTGTGTGCACATGTGGTCATGTCCCCAGACGACAAGAATTTAAAAAATTGAAGCCAACCAGGGACTTGGGCTCCCAGGCATCCCGCGTCCCTGCCGCATGCTGGCGGGTATTCTCACGTTGCACGCAGCCTGGTACAAGTTTAAGACACTGCCTTTGTTGGCATTGTTTATTTTTGTTGGTTGAGATTTTTATGTGTTTTTAATAGTCCTTCATTAAACTAATGACCACTCGCCAGCAGGGCATTGGGAAGGCTAATTGCTCAGCACGGCTTCTATGCTTCAGAGCCGTTTTTGAAGTGACTGGGTTATTCTGGGCAGTGGATGGAGAGGCTGTGAAAGCCGCCGGGAACAAAGGTGCTGGAGGCGAAGAGAGATTTTACATTGAGGGCTCTGGAGAAGCTTCTGCTAACGGGGCCACACACTGGTCTTGTGTTTGAACTTAGCGTGGCTTTTCATTTCTGTTGGCAGGAAGCCTGCCAGTGGATTTGCAGGGGGAGTGGGGGGAGGCAGATAGGGGTTGAGGACCATTGATCATCCTTCCCCCGGCTTCCCTGTGAAACAGGAGCCGTCACCATCATTCCTGCCAGCTTCCATCAGAGCTGGGAGTTTTGAAAACTGAGAAACAGGCACTTTGGCAGTAATTGAGTCTAACAAAATCAGGCGATACAAAGAGTAAATGACTCAGACGTAGCACATTTTAGCACATTTCTGACTGTGCACGGTCAGAACGTGAACGCGGGTGTTAAGAATCAGTCTGGTGTTCTTCAGTGACTGTGCACGGCCTGACTTTTCCGGTCTGTGTCCAGGCAGTTGAATAACATGAAGCCTTCCCTGTCAGAGCCTGCCAAACAAGGGCAAACGGGCATATGCCTCTTTGATTATGTAAGTAATATTTTGTTTTCTTCCTGATTATAATAGGTGGTGCAGGGGGGAAGGTATAGCTCAGTGGCAGAGCACATGCTTAGCATGAACGAGGTCCTGAGTTCAATCCCCGGGACTTCCATCAAAAATAAATAAATAAAATAAATAAACCTAATTCCCCCCCCCAAAAAAGGTAGTGCACATTCACTGCGTTTCACACAACAGAGAGGTGTAAAGAAGAACGTGGACATGAGTGATAACCCCTACACCCTGAGATAACCGCCCTGTTTGTTGTGTACCCTTTTCAGTGAGTATATATATAAGTGTACGGCCCCTTTCTAAGACAAAATCTAGATCTTACTGTTCAAGTAGTTTCTGTTGTACTTTTTTCACATTAACAACGTTTAGTAATCTTCTCCATGCTAGAAAATTTTAAAGGTACAGTTTTTTGGTGCTCAAAAACATGAGAGCATTTGACTTACAAAAAAAGGGGTAAAAGAGAAAAAAGATTAACAGCTCTCTACAAGGATAAAATAGAAAAGTCAAAGAAATTGTGCAAAATCATTTTGTACTAGTGCATCTTACAGCCTTAAAATGTCCTTCCCTTCTTAGCTGTGTAACTCTCTTAATCAGGAAGGACGTATTCTTTTTAAAATACCAACTTTAAGCATGATTTGTGTGCATTAAACTGCATCCGTTTAAATTATGTAATACAATGGGTTTTAACAGTTGGGTATATACATCCTGAAAATCACTATACAGAGCATTTCCTTCACCAGAAAACAATTCTGTATGTCTCTTTGCAGTGCACCCTTGCCTCCCAAGCTAGCAGCCTCTCATCTGCTTTTGTTCACTATAGTTTGCATTTTCTAGAAATTTTACAATGGAGTTGTATAGTGTATACTTTTCTATGTCTGGCTTGGGTGTATTTTTGTTTTAATGTAAAATTTAACAGGCACTTCACGTAGAAAAGTACAGAAATTAGAAGTGTACAGCTCAACCTATGTTATTTTTAGTAAATGCTTTATCAGGATTAAGTTTCATTAACAGAGACCCAAAATAATAGTGGCTGAACAAGGAGGAAGTTTCTTTCTTACGTAAAAATCCTGACTCCAGATGACAACTCCATTCACAGAATTTTCAGGGACCTGGGCTCCTTCCAGCTCATGAGGTCTTGTAGTCATGTTCTAAGATGCTGACCAGAGCTCCAACCATCACATCTGCCTTCCAAGTCAGCAGGGTCCAAAGACCAAAAAAAAGGACAAAGGGCATGTGGCAGCTGTAAAAGGCAGGTTCTGGGGAGTCACAGTGTAACACTTTGGCTTCATCTCAATGGGCAGTACTTAACTGTACTGCAAGGGAGGTTGGGAATTTTTTCCCTCTGAATAGCCATATACTTGTATGAAAATCAGGGACTCCATGACTCGAAGAAGAGGGGAGTAGATTGGGAGATAAACCCATTGCCTGAGCTGCAGATGCACAGCATTCCTTTGCAGGGCTGTCTGTGGTGAGGTTCACTGCCCTAATTGCTGGGAGTGTTGGTTCCCTCCAGGACTTTGGCTGTGATGAACCGTGCTGTGGGGCACAGCCTGGTGCCTAGTCTCTTGCCAGGGCTCCTGCTGGAGCCCATTAGCCATATGTGGCTATTTGCATTTACACTGAAATTAAAACTTAGAAAAAATCAAAAATTCTGTTCCTAAGTCACAGTAGCCACATTTCAAAGACTCAGTAGCCACGTCTTTAGGGAGTCTCGGTGGCTAGTGGCTCGTCTGCTGTGTAAGCAGAACATTTATATCATTGCAGAAACCTCTGGCGGACGCCACTGCTCTAGCTTCTTCCCTGGGTTCTCAGCCTGGCTACCTCACACACGGCCCCACCTGCAGACCACACGTGGTACCTTGCCCGTACTTAATCTGCACTCCGCAGACGGGTTCTTCCTGGGTCAGACGCCCTGGGAACTGGCCTCAGAAAGAGTCAGATGGATTGTCAGACTTCTAGAAAATACTGACTTGGGTTTCAGCGGGGCCATTCTTCCTAGGTGGTGAAAGAGTTTTCATAACCTAGTCTTTTTGTGGGAGGATGAGAGGGAAAGAAATTGAGCCCCATCTAACCCGCCCCGATTCAGAATTGTACAGGCCGCACTTCAGGGAGGATGAGTGCCTCCGAGTATTGCCGTCAGCCAGGAATTGGGGAAGGGCTTGAGCATGTCTCTCTTCTGAAAACCATGGTATTTTTAGCTCCAGAATCGTTTAAAGCAGATTTAAATGCACAGAGGATAATGATAAATTTCACAGCTGAGCAGATCTCAGAGGACATCTGCTCAGATGCTATTCAAACACAGTCTGACAGGCTCAGTATGTTTATTTTTCTTTTGACAGTGATAAGTGGTGGAGCGAGAGAGTGAGGATTTCAAGATCTATCATAAAGAGATTAAATTGGGTCAGGGCCCAGGGCCCCACCAGGAGGGAGGCGTTTACTCTGTAGTGGTCCCCTGCCTCCCGATAGTGGGGAGGGTCAGACATGCGATGGAAATTCAGCTGGTCCCAACCTGGGTGCCCTCAGACCACAGGCATCCTCGTCTGCCTCTTCTCTGAGTGCAGAGACACAGAAGGTCAGACACACTGCTGTGGAGCTCAAGGCTTATCCGTCCAGCTCCTGCTTGGATGCTCCCAGTGACAGAGCGCTCACTCCTTTGCCTCTGTCTTCTTCATTGGGTGGGGTCCGCTCTTCTTGTGAGAAAGTTATCTTGCTGAGCTGGCTGCTCTGTGCCTCCTGCTCACAGGCCTTGGGCAGCCTTGTGTGATCTGGTCCCCGGAGAGAACGAGGGAGCCGGGTTCAAAACCCAGCTGTACTGGTCCTGATTGTGCGACCTTGGGCGAGCTACTTACCCTCTGTGTCTGAGTTTCCTCTCCTCTTACTGTGCACAGTAACAGGACCTGCCTTATATGAGTGTTGTGAAGATTAAGTGACTTAACATATGAAGCACTTTGAACAGTTCAATAAGGTTAACTGCTATTGTCATTTTTATTATTTCGCCCCGTAAATTATATCCAAACAGTATGTGACTGGAGACTGCTATGTGCTGTTCTCTGGCTTGTGCCCGACCGCCCAGTGACCCCAGGTCTGGGCCTTCTGTCCTTTGGAGAGAGAGATGGGAGCCTGTCCCCCCCTTTCTGTCTCTCTCTTTCGGGTACAGTAGCAGAACACAGGGTTGTGCGGGAACCAGGGGAGTCAGCGTCCTTGTCTCGGTCTCTCCCCACCTCCCCGCAACCTTTTCCGCAGCCGATGTGTGTGTGACGGGCTTCTTGTCTCCCCCGCAGAACATCGTGGCCGTGGGCGCCGGGTTCTGCGACGGCCTCCGCTGCGGTGACAACACCAAAGCGGCCGTCATCCGCCTGGGGCTCATGGAGATGATCGCCTTCGCCAGGATCTTCTGCAAGGGCCAGGTGTCCACCGCCACCTTCCTGGAGAGCTGCGGCGTGGCCGACCTGATCACCACCTGCTACGGGGGCCGGAACCGCCGGGTGGCCGAGGCCTTTGCCAGGACGGGAAAGGTAGCCCCCGCCTGCCCTCCCCGCAGCCCCATCCCCCGCGAGGGCCTCCGGGGCCCGGAGAGAGGCCGGCCTTTGCTGCCTGCAGGGGTGCTCCTGCTCCTGCTCTCACCTGTCTGCCTTCACTTCTTAAAAGCCCTTCAGTCCTATGACGCCCCTTGAATGTCTTTATCTCTCCTTGGCCTGCAGCCCCCCTCCCACCCTTCCTCTTGAAATCGGTGTCCTCCAGACTTTACAGGAGGCCGTCTTCCCCCTTTGTTTTTAAGACCATCGAAGAACTAGAGAAGGAGATGCTGAACGGGCAGAAGCTGCAGGGACCCCAGACTTCGGCCGAGGTGTACCGCATCCTCAAGCAGAAGGGGCTGCTCGACAAGTAAGTGTCCGTTGTCCGCGAGGCGGGAACGGCCGTCAGCCCCCCTCTCTCGGGACCACTGGCGCCTGCGCGCCTGCGCGCAGCTGTTGGCCGCGCGTGCGCAGAAAGCACCTGGAGGCGTTCGGTCCCTGGCGCGGCGGGAAGTCCGGCGGGGAACGCCCGCCCGCCCTGAAGAGGAGGCTTTACACCAAACACGACACGAGGGCGAAGGGTCAGTGCTGCGAGGCACCGTTCAGAATAGGAAGTTGGGGTTCCGGCTGGTCCTGCAGGGTGTTTGGTCAAAGCTACACGTTGTATGTTGTAAGTCGGAAGGAAAAAAAAAAGATGATTTTGGTGTTTTAATAAAAAGATAGTCCTGTTCATAAAAGGAAAAACAGTTCATGGAAGAAGGAAGGACAAGTCGCCCCAGGACTCTAGGACCAGGCCCCCCTGGCCCTAGATGTGTGTTGGGTATGGCGAGCAGCCTTGCCATCTCCCTGCCCTGCAGGTGCACCCATGCGTCCTCTGCTGCCTGTCCAGGCCGGGCGCGTGGTGAAGGCGGCTTGGGTCGGCTTGGTCTGCCTCCAGATGGACGGATGGAGCCCAGCCTCTGAGGCTGCTCCAGCCCCTCCTCCTGTTGGTTTGCTGGGCCTGTGTCTGTAATTACGATGCTGCTGCACCGCCCTGTAAATGCTTAGGCAGTGCAGCCCTAACTCTCCTGTAATGTCTGGGAGAAGGGGAGTTGGGGGCCTCCGGGATGAGGGTAAGGGAGCTGGTCCCGAGCATGCATGTATCCACACTGGGTGGTGGGTCGGGTCTGTGCAGACGCTGCTGGTCCCAAGCACGCATCTTCATCCCACTGGCACCAGCTCTCCTCCTTGTTCGTCTGGTTCCCTATTGAATGTTGGAAATGAGGGATGACAGGGCATTTGTCTTCCTTCTTTAATTTGCATTTTATTTTCCTGAGATGGCTTTCAAAGCCAGCCAGGCAGAGGTGGAAGTCATAAACAAGCCTCAGAGGAGAACTACCTTTAAATCGTGGTTAAAAGGAAAATGCCTCTGACAAACACGGCTTTCCTTACATACTGACAGCAGACGGTGATGTGTTTGTGTATGGCTGGGGCTACTTTCATGACTTAACTCTTTATCAGGAATTTTTCTTAAGTCTTAAAAGAATACCTGGGTGTTTGATGATGGTAAGTGTCTCCCAGTCAGTTTTAAAGTGGCATCTGTATGATACCGAGTTAGAATCCTAGGATCCTAATAGCTCGCCGATAGTGTGAGCTCCTGTCCTTTGATAGGATTCTGTAAGTTGACCTGTTGGCCAGTGTGAATCTGTGTGTATACTCTGACTGCCGGAGGATACAGGCTGGAGCAGGTGTTCTGGGATCAGTACTTGCCTGGGTTTTTGTTGGGTTTTGGCGAGGGAGGTTGAGGTAATTAGGTTTATTATTTTTTTAATTGAGGTACTGGGGATTGAATCCAAGACTTCGTGCTAAGCACGCTCTCTACCACTGAGTTATACCCTCCCTCCTTGTTCCTGCCTGTTTTAAAAGCAGATGTAACCAAGCCGGAGAAGCCCGGCTCTGGACAACACCTCCGCAGTCATTTTCTTTCTTTTAATTTGAAATTGAACAGACTGTGCCTGTGCTTTATGAGGTGGCTGCTGCATTGGGTTTGGGGGGTGTGACGGGTACACCCCTTCTCCTGGACTGAGTGCCGAGTCCTGTGGGTCTCTCCCCCACCGCCTCTTACCTTGATTTCTTTTCTATTCTAGCCATCCCCACCCTGGTCTTCCTCGCTTTCCTTCTCCCCTCCCTCTTATAGAAAGAGCGGTGAGCAGGGCAGTGACCTTGTAGCTCACTAGCTATGTTGTCATATTTTTAGCTGTTCTGTGCCCTGGTGGTTCTTTATCTGCAGAATCAAACTGGTAGACCAGACGGTTGCCCTCTACCCTGAGGATTCTCACTCAAAGGTCTCCTGCTCTTAGGGAATGGGGTTCATAGTCCCTGGGTTGGCATCTGAAGCAGCCCCTCTCAGCCTAGTACCAGCTTAGCTTCTGACAGCGGGTCCTGGGGCCCCTGCTGTAGCTGACAGGACCTCCCTTTGCCCCCACGTGCCTCCTTTGCAGAGTCTTGTGTGAGTCTGTCCTGCCACTGGCCCGCCTGGACACCCCCTCATCACCCTCGAGGCAGCCCACTGTGTCCTCAGAGAGCCTCTTCCATGTCCTCCAGATGCAAATAACTCTCCCTGCTTCGAACTTACTGTTGAGACCAACTATCAGCACATTTTTTCTGTAAAGAATCACACAACAGGTATCTTTGTTGGTCACGTCCGGGTCTCTGTCCTGTATTCTTTGTTTCCTTTTACAGTCCTTTAAAACTGTGAGAATCGTTCTTAGCCTGCAGGTCACAGGCCAGCCTGGCTGCTCAGAGCCTGGTCTGACACCCCCTGGTTTAGAGAACATTGCAGCTGATGTGCTGGGGACTTCCTATGCAAACGTACAATTTTACGTTTCAAATTTGGTTGTGAGGGGGGCACATGCTTCTGGTAGAAAGAAATTAAAATCAGCACAAAAAGGCACCCAGGGAAAAAAGTGAGTCCTGATCCCCACCCCACATGGAGGTGGCCTTCTCAGTGTTCAGTAAACTTTCCACGCGGCCCATTTCCTTTGTGTGATGAGTGACGGCCTCCATCATCTACTCTGTCCCTTTTCTTCGCCATGGGATATACTCTGAAGATCATTTTCTCATCTGCACCTCGAGGTCTCATTTAATGACTGGAACATTCCACTGTGTGGGAGAACCTCAGTTTGATTGACCCAGTCTTCTCTCGACAGAAGTGAAGGTTGTCCAGGTACATCTGCTGTTTCGAAGTTTGCTTTATTTAGTTTCTTTATACATGTGTCTTTATGACCCTGTGTGAGTGTTCAGGTGTCTGTGTTAGTTTGCTGGCGGCTACCACAACAAAATACCACAGATCAAGGGGCTCACACAACAGAAATTTATTTCTCACAGTTCTGGAGGCCGGAAGTCCAAGATCAAGGGGTGGGCAGGCCGACTTCTACGGAGGCCTGTCTTCTTGGCTTGTAAACGGTGGTCTTCTCCCTGTGTCTTGCCGTGGTCTTCCCTCTGGACATGCCTGAGTCCTAATCTCCTTTTCTTGTGAGGACATCAGCCATATTGATGAACACTTTGATTATCTCTTTAAGTGCCCTGTTTCCAGATACAGCCACATTCTTAGGTCCTGGGGCACTGGATGAATGTGGGGGTGGGGGCACATTCAGCCCCTGACAGTGTTGGGAGCTCCTTCGGGGCTGTGGCTTTATTTATAATACGGTACCTTCCTGCGCCACGTTGAAGCCTAACACATCCGCACCCTCAGTATCTGTTAGTGGGATTGCTCATTGATTGGTGCATGTCAATTTTTTAATGAAATTTTGTCTTTTGTCTTTCTTTCACTTCTGACCTCCCTTAAGGAGTTCCTCAAACTGATGTAATTGGCTTTGCAGCATTTTAAATGGTTAGAAGACAGCATTTAGATGGGCGTTATCACCTAGCGGTTGAGTGGTGGCCTCTGAGGCAGAAACTGTGCCTCAGTTTCCTCAAATTTATACAATGAGGATAATAGTATTATCTACCTCATAGGGTGGTGCTTGTGAGAGTTAAACAAGTTACTTGTCCACAGAAATCCTCCCTTCCCCCAACAGTCTTTGTCTCTTGTTAGCATCCCATCTACGGAACACATTTGGAAATGCAGGTTGTGAAAGTTGGGAGAACTTTTGCTTATGTGAGCAACACCCAGTTAAAACGCATTGAACAACAGGGTTATTTTTCTCACGTAACAGAAGAGTCTGAAAGTGGACGTTAATGGTGTTGACTCAGTGCCTCTGGATTAGGATCTTAGTGATCCTGTTGGCCTTTCCTCAAAGCCTCAATATGGCTGCAGCAGCTCCAAGCATCACATACTCACACAACTGCACTAAGCAGCAGGGAGCAAGGGCAGTCTGGGGTAGCAGATTGTTCCTTCAGTGCTTCTTGAGGAGAGAAAGCTCTTCCCCAGAAACTCCCACGTGTATTATATCTTGCTGGCTAGAATGTGCTTCCTTTCCCAATTCTAGGTGAAAGAAGACTGGGGAAGAGAGGCTATTTCCCACCTCAGTAAGGAGAGAAGGGGGTTGGGAAGGTCTTTGGGTGGCCACTCATCACCTGCCACTCTGCTTGAGGGACATACAAGTTGTTCTTAGGAACAGGAAAACTATGCCATTGAAGGACAAAGGAAGAGGCTGAAATCTCCAGGCTCAAACTCCCATTCACAAGAATTCATTCAACAAACACTCACTGAGCACCTGCCTCTGCCATGCATTGTGCCAGGCCCCACCTACACAGAGGTGAACGAAACAGACTCGGGCCTTGTCCTCCTGGAGCTGACAGTCTGGGACCCAGTGGCCGTCATGTGGCTGCATTTATAAGCTGTTGTTTATGGCACACCTGTCATGTGCCAAGTGTTGTATTGTCCACCTTACATCTGAGTCCCTTAATACCACAGTCCTGAGTGTCCAGCCCCATTTTGCAGATGAGCAGCAGGTCAGAGGGCTTGTGAAACCTGCCCAGAGTTAACAGGCTGTGAAGTCGGATTGGAGCAAGTCTACCTGACTCTAAGAAACAAAGAAACATTCTGAACCTTGAAAAACCCACAATGACAGCCTGTCATAAAGAGATACAACCCTTTAGTACTGTTTGCTGTTCTTAAATTGTCATTATAGGATGCTTAAGTAGATAATTTTCCAAATGGCGTTTATGATTGTTGAGATTCTTTCAGGCTCACTTTGGGCCGTGTGCATGTGTTGAAAAGCCTGATTGGAATTACTTAGTTGTTTCCTGAGTGATTTCTGCCATAAAAAGATACTTACTGAGCCAGACGGACCCTGGGATAACACCGTCTTTTCTTACAGTGGATTATTAGCCCACTCCTTCGTGCCCTCATCCATTTCAAACTTTCATTTATACCTGTGTTCACAT